TCTGTTGCTCATTCCCACAGCACTCAGCAACTGAACGTGATGCCAGGCACTGTGGGATGCATACCCACATTGCTTTGCTCTTTCTGTCCGTGGAGGAGCTCACACAGTGGCCAGGATATGTCGACAGAGAGTGGCAATGTAAACATGATTTGTCAACTTTTTTTGGGCTTCTTATGAATGTTGACAGTACTTTTGTCACCAAATCATGTAGACATAACCCATGTTACTGCCTGTCCCCTCCCCAGAGTCCAGGGGAAATGAAAACTCTCTTTTGGTTCCCTCTCTCCTGGCATGCTAGAGAGGGGAATGGAATGGGACAGAAAGGGCAACTGGTAATACAGTGATGCTCCCCCAAAACAGTCCCATGTTCTTGGCATGTTCATATATGCCACACATGTACACATCACCACTCCTTGGCTTTGAGCTTTCACACTTTCTTGTCCATATCACAGCCTACCACGCAAGATGATAGGCCGCCACAATATCATATGATATCAGCACCATACAGATACGACCATTTCAACGAGAAAACTCCTATCTTGCTCTATGTGAATCTCCATGTCTCTAGCTGTGGTGAAAGTGATAATTTCTAGAGTGCATGGAGGTGTGACGCATGAGTCCACCTCTCTTGCAGACAGGCATTCCTCTTCCTTCTGAGACTGGAGGAGAAGAGACTGACCTGTTCGCTAGAAAGATGAGCTGGAGCCTTTTTGAATTATTCAGTCTGTGTATAACAGTTGTTAGCGCTGTCAGAAATATATTGCCACTTAGCTCACAGGTGCAGGATGTAGCTCCTGAGTTCCAAGAAAAGACCAATGTAACTGTATCCTCCCACAAACCTGGCTGCTTCAAGGCCTGGATGTCAGAGCATTTTGGTGCCACGACACAACTGTTGCACTTGGAGGTTGCTTTGGAATGTGGGGTCTGGCTCTGAACTGATTGATCTTTCTACACACCTCTCTAATGTCCCAGTTTGGAACCATATGTTCAACTGCAGCAACAAGAGAGGTCAGTAGTGTTGTTCCTGGTTTACAATTGGAGAAACTCAGGCACAGTGGTTAAATTTAATGTTTTCAAACTTAAATGAATACAGTTGGGCCACTAAGTCCACATTTAGGCATCTAAATAAAAGGTCTGCTTCTCTATGGCCACACACCTTCCTTGGGGGTCAATTAGCAATATGGTTGCTCAGCACCTCTGGAAAAATTAGGCCGGTGACTACTTTTCAGCAACTAATCATGAAAATTTTGCCCTAAGCAACTTGCCCCAGGCCATAGAGGGCGTAAACTGGACTGAAACTCAGGATTCTTTTGGCTTCCAGTTTTGTTCTAAGACCGTGGTCACCAACCAGTAGATCGTGATCTACCAGTAGATCTCAGGGGCTCCAAGAGTAGCTCTTGAGCCCTCTCTGAACTGCGCACCTGCGCAGTACATTTACATTAGATTTCCTCATGTAATGTAGGCGGGGCTTCAAGGAAGGGGCGGGGCAGTAGATCTTCGCCTGTTCTGAGACTTAAAAAGCGATCTTGGGAGTAAAAAGGTTGGAGACCACTGTTCTAAGACCATTCGCTCACCCAGTGTAACCCACATGCCTACTAGGTGTGGTTCATTGTCCCATGAAGCGACACTTAGACCACTTACAGAGAGTAAGGATAATGATTTTGCGCTACACTCCTTAGCTGAGAGGCTTTTAGCTCAAGCTGTAGAGCAGGGCTACTTAACTTTGGAAGCCCTGGGGGTCACAATGATACAGCCCATGCCGAGGGCCACAGCTTAAGTGTCGTTACATGTACATTCAAATATATGCAAATAATTTCTTTCACACTGAGTGCATGAATACAAAGATTAAGGCAAGATTACACAACACACAGGCCCCATTTAAGTCAGTTCTTCTGATATTAATAAAATGCAATAGTTACCCGATTTCCACTCATATGACAGCACTTCTAATGAGCAATGACAGCCCAGGAATTTAAAACACATAGCAACAGAAGACCATTATACTGACTACTTTTTTGTTTTGGCTCCCACTCATGGGCTGCATGTAGGGTTGGCAGGTATCCAGTTTTGAAACAGACAGTCCAGTATTTGAGCTGTCTGTTTGGGAAACAAATTGAGAAAATATAAATGTGAAAATATAAATGTCCAGTATTTTCTAAATAAGATGTAATGTAGATTGTGATGTAATATCAAGTGTATCCGGTATTTTTGTTGAAACCATCTGGCAACCCTAGCCGCATGTTGAGCCCCACGTAACCCCAAACCACACTGCGGGCCGCAAACAGATGGGCTACAGGCCGCGTGCAGCCCATGGGCCACGTGTTAAGTAGCACTGCTGTAGAGGCCCATGCATTAAGCTTCAGAGGTCCCGGGTTTGGTTCTACCCAGGGGCGGATATAGGGCAGAGCGAACGGGGCGGCCGACCTGGGCCCCGCGCTTCAAAAAGCCCCGCGCATGTGCCGTGGTGCCACCACGCATGCGCATGGCATCACTGTGCATGCACCGTGGCAAAGAGGGGCCCCGCGGAATTATGCTGCCCGGGGCCCCGCAAAACAGTCATCTGCCCCTGGTTCTACCTGTCTTTATTATGCAAGCAATCCCTCCCATTAGCACACTAAATAGACCACTGAAGGTTCTTTTGTCTCTTGAGGTATGAGCTTTCTATACCATGAAGATAATATAGTATGGGAGGTGGCAAACTTTACAAGTGGACATATGTCTAGGGATGTGTTGTTATCATGTTATGAAAACGGAGCTAATGTTAATAGAGGTATAGTCCATTGCTCTACAATAAACTTCCAGTAATAAATATCACAGTTGGGCTTGGAATCCTTTTACTGGAAGGGGGACTAAAGGTCTGTGTTATTTACAGCACCATTCCATTTTACAGGACACATCAGCTGCGTGCATGCACACACCCACCCACACGCACACGCACACACACACACAAAGTGTAACTTGGATTATCAGTACCTATCCACATCCACTGTGGAACAATTTGTATCAGTTTCAGACATTGTAAAATTCCTTTTAATCAAGCATGGCACCGGAGCATTCTAATGTTCTTCCTTACCCTCGCAGAAGCCTATTCTCAGCCTCTTCAATAAAGCAGATTAAAGTCATGTCATTTGGATAACAAGACAGGAAACCTATCTTGCAAAGATGGATCTAACAGTTGCTGTCTGGTAGTCTGTGGGGATGAAGTCAGGGGGATCTCTGCCCTATTCCTAATGGACTGTGTCAACAGAAAAACAGACTACAGAAATTGGCACCAATTGGCACTCTTGGTTCAGAGGAACACCAAGGATCTTTTGTTGAGCTGGAGGAAGGGAGGAGGAAAAAAAAGCCACCTGCCTTTAAAGGCAACCATTTTGAATTTTGTTGTTCTCCACAGCGTACCTCCGACGGCCTTGCGGCGCACAGTTTAAGAAACACTGGGATAGACCATTGGAAACAGAACTAATTCTTCTGCTGTGGAAATGGTCTTTCTAATCTAGGGGGCATTGATGGGACACTGTGGATCATGTTCTGTAGAAATATTCACTGCCCAGAAAACTTTGTTACCTTAACTCTTCATTAATTAGCAATGCTGTGACTCTAGAGTTGAGTTTTTGTTCTGCAGAAAGTTCCACATTTCAAAATTGATTTTCATTCCACAAAGGAACAAAAAAATCAGCAATGTATGGGAAAATGGGAGAGTTCCATAAAATTTTAATTTGGAAACCTCAAAACATATGTTGATAATATCACATAGTTTCATGTTGATAACGTAGAAAAAATGTGACATTATCAAGATGAAACATTTTGACCCAAATGGAAATTTCTCATTCCAACATTATGTGCATCTGACATATTGCTATAAAATGCAACAATGACTGCAAATATCTTAGGCCTTTAATCCCCCTTCCACTTAAAGGATTACAAGCAAACCAGTAATATACGGTTACTGGATGTTTACTGTAGAGGACTATCCTTCATATAACATTAGCTTTGTATGGGGTATACTGGTCATTTAAGGCCAAAAGGGAAGTCTGGGTACCCAAGCTATCATATTCTGGAGCAGAGGATGGCAGAGGCAGATACTGGGAAAGAGGAAGTGGTCCAAGTGTAACAGAGTTGTGGAGGTGTGGGGGAGGGTGGAGAGGAAGGAACCCAGGTTACTGTTTGCTTAAGGGACAAGGAACCTTGCAGTGGGACAAGGCTCCCCTTTCCTCTCAGCCAACCAGGAAAAGTTTTGGGAAGAAGGAAAGCATATAATTTGCCTCTTCCCTCATACTGGGGGAAGCATTAGTAGAAAATAGACTGCTTACCTGCTGGCCTCTCCTGGTGAAGAGGAAAGGACTGAAAAAATCAGGCCATTTATTTGTGGATTTAAGTACCCAACTTTAGGCCTCCATGTCTGAAAATGTTAGACTTAACCATTGCCTCAGTTCTCTTCATGCCAGGAATAACACTAGTGAGATGTTGTAAGGAGGAGTTAATACTTGTTTTTAAAGATAAGAAGTGCCTAGTTAATGTACAATTCTAAACTGGGATATTAGGGATGTACAAAGAGTCCACTCAGGTCAGATCCAGGTTTCACTTTCCAAGGTACAACATTTGTGTCGTGCAACCAAGATGCTATTACATTGATCCAGGCCCTAAAGCAGTCAGATTTGAAAAGCTGATTATTACGTGTGCACTGTACACGTACATCAGAGAGACAGGGGTCCTTGATATCAATATGATCACGTAATTCAAAACTGTCATATTATATATACACAGACTGAATTAAGATGGTACAGCCAACCTTAATTCAGGCCACTCACAACTTCTGAGTGTTTGACTTTGCAACCTTAATAATGTTTGTTTTTTCCTTAGAAATTATTTATTATCTAGGAAATCTTAACACGTTTATTTAATGTCCTTTTAATGTAGTTTTTGTAGATGTAACCACAAAGTTTTTTATATACAACTTTGTTTAATATAATAGAATGTCAACTTTTTTCACATCAGTTAATTTCAATCTAAACATTTCAATATTATAAAAACGAAAACAAAACAATTTATATGGGCTTTCTCCCAACAGAATTTTTATCATAATCAACATATTCCACTGAAGTATTATGTTTCAGCTGTATTTTCTGAGGGAAAAGTTTCATAAAAAATGTCAATCAATTTTATTCAGACCTTTTTAGAATATTGAGTGCATGTACAGTAAAACCTGTAGAAACAGATTAGCGTACACATCTGTGCAAATGTACAAATGAGATTTTATGGCTGATCACCTTAATTCAAATCACATTGTACGGCCAGCATTTACTCTGAAGAAGTTTATCCAATATTACTTCTCCAGAGAGGCAACAGTTGCTGGACAGCAATCAAGATCAGTCCCAAAAAACACCCCATAAAATGTTAATGTCATATGATTTTTAAGCGTTTCATGGGACCCCCTGGCTTAAATGCCTTCAAATTTGGACTAATAATTCTATGAGGACCAGTAATTTTAAAGCCCATGTGAATAAATATATGGACCTTAGAGAGCTTAGAAAAATGGGCTGTTAGACAGCAAAGTAGTCTCAGTCTTACAGTGGTGTTACATTGTGCTATAATGCAGGACTTCTGTCTCAGGCAGAAACTAATCCCTTTCACCAATGCTGTATTCACTTCTAAAAAGGAAAAATATAAGGGGTATTGTTTCAGCATCAGTTATCCCTATAGGAACTGGGTTAGGCTAAAGAGATCAATATGCTTTAAACACTATTGGAGTCAATGTATTATATAGGAATAAGTCCTATAGAATTGCATATGAGGTACATAGTGAAACGGTCACTTAAAACCAGCTTCTTCCACTCTTCTCCCAGCTGAAACGGGCCTGTATTAAATATTAACAAACTTTGTCCATCAGTTCCCTGGGCCTCTTTTAACAACAGATTTTATTACAACAGCTTCTCTCCCTCCTGCGTTTCTTTTATCAGCATTGTCAATTGTGAAACCGAAGACTCTATTTCCTGTAATTCTGTCTGCACTGCCTCATTGTTTCTCCTGCTGCGCACTTGCTCTGTACCTTTTCTTCTCTCTCATTGGGACCCCAGATGCTGTCTATCTGCCTTTGGCCCTTGTAGGCAATTGTACTGCTCCTTGCAATTGCGTGATGGAAATATATTAAAGGGGAGGGAGAAGAACAGAGTGCAACAAAAACACAAAGCAAGACAGCTTCTGAGGTAGAAGGGGAAGACAGAAGAGCAGGTGAAAAGGTGATGACCATGGCTAGTAAATCCAGAGATTTGTCTCGAGTAACCTTCCAGGGTCCAGAGAAGCCTGGGGAAGAATCATCCCACAAGAAACTGAGCAAGCTAACAGTTAAGTACAACCGCAAAGACCTTCAACGCCGACTAGACCTGGAGGAGTGGGTTGATGCCCAGTTGCAGGAGCTTTACCATTACCAGGTAACAAACCAAGCTGGATCAAACTTTCTTCTGTTAGGAGTGGGTCTAGACCCTGTGGGCTATGAAAGGATACTTTTAATTTACTGGGGGGTAACAACCCATGTTGTGACGACTGGGAATGCTGTTCTTTATTAAATTTCTTTTTATCACATGCTAGAGCTTTCTATCTCTCTAAGTGGCACTGCTGTATGAGTGATCAAGCTGTGGGTAATGGCAAGTCTGTTAAGGGAGATAATGGGAACTACAGGCAGGCTGCATCTAGACTGCAGGGTTAAATCATAAAAGGATATGATTTACTTTCCGATTTTTTTCCGATTTACTTTCAAAAGAGGCTTTTCCGAAATTTGGTGCATCTATACGACACCAAATTTCAAGAAGAAGTAAGGCTTTTCCGAAATTTGGTGCATCTACACGACACCAAATTTCAAGAAGAAGTGCTCTTTCGATACATCCCTTATGCCTCATAGAACAAGGTTTACAGGGATGGTGAAAGAGTGCACCTGCTTTTTCAAAAACATTTTTCGGAAAAGTGGACATGTTCCTTGGATGTGGCATTGACAATGCAGTCTAGACATAGCTACAGAAAGGAAAGGAAAGGGAAATGGGGATTCAGTCATTGTAGGTACAGATTTTATTTCCACCCCCTCCCTCCACAGGTCTCCAAAGTTGTCTCCCCAGGCCATATGACAAACATTTTCCTTAGCAGCAGTATTACTGCATGGGAGTCCTTTCAAACTTTTACTGCCCATCTGAATTTGCAAAGGCAAATAAAGATTCAGGCATGCAAGGTGCATACCCATATTGAGGGTGGTTTTTATGTTTGACTGTCTTGGAGCCATGTTATTTTTCTGGCTTCGGATACATCTAGACTACGTTCTTCTTTCGAAAAGAGATATGTAAATTCAGTGCTATTTGCATATCTTCTTCCGATTGCTTTTTCAAAAGTGTTTTTTTTTTAAAGTGAAAACAGTTTAGACGGGTTTTTCAAAAGAACCCCCCTTTTTCGAAAAAGACGGGTTTTTCAAAAGAACCCCCCTTTTTCAAAAAAACCCAGTATACCTCATTTTTTAAGGAAGAAGGGTTATTTCGAAAAAGGGTGGGGATTCTTTCAGAAAAAAAACCCTTCTAAACTGCTTTCAATTTAGAAAAAAACGCTTTTGAAAAAGCGACTGGAAGATATGCAAATTAGCACCAAATTTGCATATCTCCTTTCGGAAAAAGAACGTAGTATGGATATACCCCAAGAGTACATTTGGGGCTTAAACCAGGGGGTTGTCATTGCCTTTGTACAAAAGTTTCCAGTACACACCAAATACTGAAACATTATGCTGATGTCAATGAGTCCATCAATATTTTGAGCTTATGTGGCACTTTTGTTGGTAAATCTCAAAGAACTTGAATTTAGGGAAACTAAAATAGGGAAGGTACAGGATTTACCATGATCCAAAATGCATTGAAATGACTGAATCAGGCCCCAAGTCACTAGCAGACATGAGAATATAATCTAGCTCTCCTGATTCCCCTATCCAGTAGACCACTGTTGACTTCAATAGAAGGTGGGGATGGATTTAGCAATTTGTATGAAATAATTTGCACATCTTCATCCCACACTCAAAATGAAACATTTCTGAATGTTTGGAAAAAAATGATTAACTCTTGGATTTCAGTCTTCCATTTTTGAGCATTGCTGCAATTTCAGATTCCGAATATATATATTTGGAAATGGACATGCGAAAATATCCCTGTGACAATTTGTAGGATCACTTCCTTTTCTATATGCACTGGAATGTATTAGATGACTATTCACTATCTGAAATGAGAAGACAGTTCCCCTGGCATTCATACCATCTACAAAAGACAACTGAAAGAAAAGAGTATATATAGGCACTCTGTTTTGCAGTACATGTGGCATCTCTAAGAAGAAATGTCTGGATAGGTTTTCATCTTCTTGAAGTTAATAAAGTGACTGTTAAATTAGTAAAATGATCACAAGTTATGCTAGGTTATGATAATTATCCCCTTTTAGCCCTTCTATGAATTTCCATTTGATAGTCATTCATATTTATAAAATATTAATGGACATTCATCCCATACTCTGGTTCCTTTATCATACATTAATAGGCACAACAGCAGATTCAATGTAAGAATATTTAAATGCACTGCCTAAACCCATGCATCAGTAAAATTTGATTCTCAGGATCCTCAGCTGAGTCAGTAAATATCTATTTTACATTATTGTAATGTTTATGAAAGGTACCAGATAGACAGCTCTGGTGAAGGAAATTGGTTTATCCATAGAATAGGTACAGCAGCAATGTCAGCTTCCCTGCCAGTGTTCCTGTCTTGGCTTTAGGGGATGGGACTGTCTCTGGAGGTGATACGTTAGTTCATCCTCCAGACCTCTTTTGTCTTGGATCTCTTTGCTGAGATTGCCAGCAAGAATGGTGATGTGGTGGTAATTGTGAGATGGATGTTGAAGCAGGACAAAGAGACATCAAATGGTAACTATTTTTGGTCATCATAGCTCTCTACCAACCTGAACTGGACCAAACCCAGCAGCCTAGAGAAAAAAAGGCTGCTTAGTCCATTTGGCATCTATTTCTCCAGTACTGATCTTCCTAGGAAGTCTATCCCTAGAACTGACAACGAGAAGTCCTGTGACCTGATTAAGTGGGTCTTTGCCCACGAAAGCTTATGCTCCAATAAATCGGTTAGTCTATAAGGTGCCACAGGACTTTTCATTGTTCATGCAGATTCAGACTACCATGGTTACCCTTCTGATATTTATCCCTAGAACTTACTCTGTTCTGTTTCCATTCACCAGAGATGTGCTGATTGGTTCCTTCTTGATCCAGTGGCTTGAAGAGATATTGAAACTGGATCCTCTAGACACTTTTTGACTTTATCTTATCATCTGAAATAGTAATGAAACACCCCTATGTGGTTTTACTTTCTTTGGCTTTACACAAGTCTTTGTTCAATGTCACTTTGGTGTTCAAGACCAGCAGTCCCAGGCTTATATTGACACATGTGACGAAATGAAAAGTATGCTGTTTGCAATAAACTTTGCATAAAATAGTTAATTTGCATTTAATTTTAATGGTTCAAAGAATGTCAGGCAAAATGGTCGGCCCTCACGCATGTTCACTTCATCAAATCTGGCCCTCTTTGAAAAAAGTTTGGACACCCCTGATGTAGAGCATGTCTATGCACATGCCCAGTAGGAACAGCAATGTAGAACAGACAGTGGCACCAAGATGTCACTGTATTCATATAACAAGATCAATGACATTTGATATAATGGGGCTCCTGAGAGCCAACACCTCTGGTGGGGAGAGAGGAAAAAAATATAAGGATTTTTACAGTAAGTGGAGTGACAAATGGGACTGACAGTATTTTTATGAGGGAGTTCAGTGATGGAGTTTGAGGTCATGGGACACTACTGTAAGGAAGCTCACAACCTGGATGATTAAATGGAGGCAACTCTAATAAGAAATAGAATAAGTGTTGCTCTTTTAAAGAGTAAGGTTTAGGAGCTAGTAACTTTTAAAGCACTTGTTTAAAAAAAATCAAGTGACCTACTGGCAGTTCTTGGTGGTACCATATGTGAGAGACCAAAGCATGATTCCCTCTCAACTCTTACTTTGCTAGGTCCACAAATGTGTATTTTTAGAAGAGCCATAAAGGCAATACTAAAGTCCCATCCTCACCTATGGTCCCCTAAGAGTTTGCATTATCTAATCAGAGTCTGAAATCATTAATATGGGCACAGAGATTTGTTTTCCTTGTAATCAAAGGGGTTAGCAGGAAGAAGGAAATCAAAAGGCAGATTTGTATTTCTGGAAGGTGTTTTCAACTAACTAGAGCCTGTGTTGCTGGCTCCTCCCCTGCACAGGAAATTTTCCCAAACTCAGACATGCATTTCAGGATCCAGAGTCTCAGGCTAGCATCCCAATGTCCAGCCATTGTGCTGACAAATCTTGATAGCCGGACCAAACACACTAGAAAGTACCATATCACAGTATGTGCAAATTTAGAGATTGTTCGCACCAGTACAGCAGTTTCTGGTAAATGTTTTATGAAGGATTTTTTTAAAAATCTACCAGACAAATCCTAGAATCATTTGGGTCTGAAGAATAGTAATAGAGAGGGTCTGAAGGAGTCTCTAGTGGGCCAAACTCCCTCCTAGCATCAAGGCAGGACTGTCTTTGTTAGTTATGATAGGCTAGTCTTCAATAGCTCACCTGATAGCAATTCCACAACTTCGTTGGCAGCTTGTTCCATTGCACTGATTGTCCTTAGCATTATTCACTTCCCTAATATATCTTAGAAGTCTAAGCAGCAGGACTGAAACAACCAGGCTCCCTAGGATCACAGGTTCTGATTTTAGGAGGATCAAGTCAAACTGTCATGTGTCTGCTGTGGGCAAACTGAGTGCTGCAGGCTTTGTGCTTGGGCCTTTCAAATGAGAACTGAAAGAGTTCTATATTGATGTGGCCCTTTGGGACACAGCTCCTCCGACCTGATTGTTACTCATTCCATTTTGTAGATGGTTTCATCCCATTTCAACTCCATTAGGCCCTTCCATATAGTCGTCTCATGATAGCACCATACTCCCTGGGCAGGTGTTTGGTGTCGTGGTGGAACTATTTGACACCTCTGGCAGCTAGGTCTGGAAGAGCTGTGAAGTGTTGCCTGTGTCAAGTCACGGTCTGTGAGTTGAGATGTGGTATTGCTAGAGATGAACCTGAATCACAACCCCTGTTCTAAATACCCCAAATTTCAAGAAGTTTCACATCTTAATCCAATCTTTGCTGCTTGGGTTCATCTTTAACTAGAATCCTTCCTCAACTCTCACCCCACACTCAGTTCTCCACATTAAGTTCTCTTGAATGTGTTTCATTTGATGGGACAGGTTTATTTACTACGTATTTCTGCTCTAGCTGCAGGAGGAAGCAGAAGCAGCAACCCTAGAACCAGACATTGATATTGAAGATCTTCTAGAAGTCTCCAATGAAGAACAGAAATCAAAACTACAGGTCAGATAGAGATTGTCTGTTCTATTTATCTACTATATATTTTAGAGCATTTGTACATCTGTCTGTCCTCCATCAGTGAGTCAGTCTGTTCAAGATCTCCTCCTAAATGGTAAGAGCTAGGACCACCCAATTTGGTACGCAGCTTCCTCTGATCATAACTCAAAGCAAGGTGAAGGTTTGGTTGTATCAGGACAATGTGATGTGTCTGGAATGTGATTGTTTCATATCAAACAGAAAGGGAGAGGTATGATAGCAGGGACAGTTATACTCATGATCACAGAGGGGCAGCAAATGCGCCAACCCGAGAAAGCAGCCACTGGCCAACAGCAGAGCCCCTGCCACCCCTGGGGAGCAGCTGCCCACTGTACCTTGTGGGCCCTGCTACCCCAGGCCAACCCTGGGAAGAATCAGGGAACATGTGTATAGTGTAGACACCCGGCAAGTTTAGCTGTTCTTGAGCAAAAAGCCTGCAGTGTAGATGTAGCCCTTGTGTTTAACACAGCCTCTGAGCCTCCCCTTAGCCTCCAGGCCTCTCACTTCTTCCAGCTTCTCCTTTGCTGATTTATTAGCTCTTCTGTCTCTCTTGGGCTCTGCTAAGGTGCTTTTACTGACACTCCCACAGGCCCTCCCCCACAGGAGCCTGACTTGCTCCTGCAGAATTCTTCCTCTGTTCCAGTTTTAACAGGTTTTTGGTCACTGCTGCCCTTGCGCAGAAGCTCCAGCAACTTCTCCTTAGGCTCTTCCTGCTCCTTTTGGAATCTGGCTCAGGGCTTCCCCTAGAGCAGGCATGTCCAAAGTCCAATGATAGCAGGGACAGTTATACTCATGATCACAGAGGGGCAGCAAATGCGCCAACCCGAGAAAGCAGCCACTGGCCAACAGCAGAGCCCCTGCCACCCCTGGGGAGCAGCTGCCCACTGTACCTTGTGGGCCCTGCTACCCCAGGCCAACCCTGGGAAGAATCAGGGAACATGTGTATAGTGTAGACACCCGGCAAGTTTAGCTGTTCTTGAGCAAAAAGCCTGCAGTGTAGATGTAGCCCTTGTGTTTAACACAGCCTCTGAGCCTCCCCTTAGCCTCCAGGCCTCTCACTTCTTCCAGCTTCTCCTTTGCTGATTTATTAGCTCTTCTGTCTCTCTTGGGCTCTGCTAAGGTGCTTTTACTGACACTCCCACAGGCCCTCCCCCACAGGAGCCTGACTTGCTCCTGCAGAATTCTTCCTCTGTTCCAGTTTTAACAGGTTTTTGGTCACTGCTGCCCTTGCGCAGAAGCTCCAGCAACTTCTCCTTAGGCTCTTCCTGCTCCTTTTAGAATCTGGCTCAGGGCTTCCCCTAGAGTAATCTGTGCTTCCTTTGGATCTTCTTCCCTGAGTTCTTGCCTATTTTAAGACTTCTCTCGGGACTCTTATCCAGGAGAGCCAAAGCACAACCACTCCTCCCTGTGAGTTCTCCCACCCACAGGATAGTCTTGCCTTTGCTGCAATCTCTCCTCTCTGTGTTATCTTTTCCTAGCCCTTTCACAGCTGAGGTCACTAACTAGCCTCAAACTGGCTTATTACTACCATCAGCTTAGGGCTAGCTGGTGGTAGGTAACAAGCAAGACTGAAAGGGGCTTGCCTTAAAGGGTCAGCCAACTTTTGACAGTCCCATTCACACTCTTTTGAGGGATCAGTTACTAACAACTATTGCTGACAGCAACAAATCCCTATCCCAGTAGTGGGCAACCTGAGGCCTGAGGGCCACATGCAGCCCATCGGAGTACTTTGCGTGGCCCACGAGACATTTTGGTTACTGGTGATCACACATAGGGTTGCCAGATTCCACTGGTTTTCATACACATTGGTAATACTGGCAGGAAAAAACTAAGTGACATGCGTTTTTAAAGCAAGGACACATGAAGTGAGGTGCGAGCTGATTGCACAAAACATTGTGAAAGCTGTGCACTCCCTCGGCATCCAGTCAAAGTGCTGCTATGGTTCAGTCGGCACACCCTGCAAATTTTAGGTACACAAGTATAGTTAGTAAAACAACCCTATCCTGTGAGACTGTCTTAGTTACAACAATCTTGTGGCCCACTGAGATGATGGAGGACCACTCATGTGGCCCACTCACAAGCCTCTCATAGCCCTATCTCATTGTGCATAGGGTCAAAGTGTCATATTTTAGGACCTGTACAGCTCTTCCATTTAATATATGAATTGAAAAAATCCTTATTCATTTTAACTGTCCCCAGTGACTTATTAGGGATAAGTGAGCGACTTCAGATCAATTAAGTAACCCAAACTTTCACCCAAATTGTAAACTAAACCTATTCTGAGGTTAGAAAAATGTTGGTTAGCTTGTAATGCAGTGGTTCTAATTCTCCCTGAAGGCTCTGTACTTCTGTGTTCCTGTTAGCAGCCGATGCAAAAAGGCAAATAAATAAACCAACCAACCAATTAACCAAATAGAATAGTTGTTGTTGAGGTATTTCTTGCCCAACCAGAAGCCTGAAAGTAGCTTATAGGATTATAGGGCCTGTTCTTATGAGGTTTTTGAAGCCCAATTTTGCAAATATTAGAGGCTGAGATAAGCCTCCAAACACGATGATCTAAAATAACTCCTGAAAGTTTCACAGTAATACTTAAATACTTAGCTCCTGTGGGGCTTGATACAAAGCCCATGGAAGTTAATGGAAAGACTCGTGCTGACTTCAATAGGCTTCGGATCAGGGCCACGCAGTTGTCTTTAAATGTAGGTCTCAAAGTGAAAGTATCATTACTTACTAGAACCTATCCTGGGAGCAGCCTCTGTACACGTCAGACAACGTACACACTTTGATAGCTTCTGGAATCCTCTGGGGGCAACACGATTTACACTCAGAGCTACTAAAGCTGTCCTGTACTGTGGAACAGGAAGAGAGCAACGTACACACTTTGATAGCTTCTGGAATCCTCTGGGGGCAACACGATTTAAACTCAGAGCTGCTAAATCTGTCCTGTACTGTGGAATAGGAAGAGAGTAGGCTGCTGTGTTGTGACAGTGGAGTTTTGGTGACTGCGCATCCTGGCACCTCCTGCAGCTTTCCATGCAGAACAGCGGCAATGAGTATGGACCACGGAGCCCATGTACGGTGTGGCCTGATGTATGTGGTGGCACTGTCAGGCTCTGGAACACCTTTGGATCACATAGCAGGCTAAATATGGAAGCCATACATACACTTCTTGTAGCTTAAAAAGGAAAAAAAATAGGCAAGCTCCTAAGGAACTAATATGCATTTTTGACTTGCAGGAAATTCTTCATGAGTGTTCCAGACCTACTGAGGTGAGTGAAGCACCATCATCACTGTGTGTTCAGTCTCATCATGTGCTGCTGTGCCATTGTACTGTGGCTCCTTTTAGTTAAATAGCCACTACGTTCTGTAGGTAGTTGAAACTTGAGGTACCACATTTGTTGACTCTCAGGAACTTTTGTTTATACTTCATTCACAGCACTGTAAAACTCAGTATCAATATATGAGTGAGTGTAGAGCAGTGACAGATTAGATTGATTTCAGATGTGCTTCCTATGCTTTTCTCAAGACCTATTGCCTGTAGTAATGCTCTCTGCAAGAAGAGACAAAGTAGGCAACATAATGCCGTTAGTACATAATTGTTGCTTGCCTCTGTAGTGTATTTCCATGGTATCTTGTCTAGTACTTGGCATGGCTGTTCAAAGATAGAGCTTGTGAATGATTCACCTGGAAATTAGACTTAACCAAACTAGTCATATTAGAGTCTGCAGAAACCTAGCCTGAATCATGCTAGCTCTGGTTTGGCAGCCTGCCCCAGCATCAAGGCTGGCACGGGGCTCTGAGAGGCCATCTCCAAATCACTGGCAAAAGGCCAAGGCTAATTGTGCCCACACAGATAACCAGCAGGAGTTTGTGTCATTCACTGGCTTAGTGCCTCTGATCATGTTGCTGTTTAGTGGCTGAGCCCAGCAATTATGACAGCCACCAAACAACTAAATTAGTGTTTTCTTAGCCCACGAACCTGTGCTAAAGGTCCTGAGTTCAATCTCCTCTGCTGATCCCAGTGTCTATAAAGTATGCAACTATGGGTCCATTGCATTTACATTTCAGGAGTTCACATGGGGAAGGGTTGACTAAAAGCTTCAAAAGGACTTAGATGCCCAAGTGCCACTTTAAGCAATATTGGCATTCACAACACCACCATGCAGCTGCCACCAAACTCTGACACCTGCATTAGTGCCTGTGGGGATGCACAAAGCTGCCCAACCCAGGCTGCTCAATGCCTAATTCATGCCTAACCCTCAGAGGCTTTGCAAACTAGGCATTTCTTTGCCTATTTTGCCTGCAAGGCCAGATCCTGTAGGCCTGCTCAGAGCACACCTAGCCCCTACAAAAGGCAGCAAGAAGGAGGATGTGACACTAGTACCCCCTTCTAATAGCTCAGTGTTTAGTATAATCACTGACAATCTGGAATCCTAGAGTTCAAATTCCCCTCTGTGGGACTTGCAGCAGCAATTTGAACCCAGGTCTTCAACCTTCCAGGATAGTCCACTAGTAGGGCTGACAGCTCTCAGTACCACTCGAGTACAGCATGCCCTCCCCAGGCAGCCCTCAGTGCAGCCTGGAATACTCTGTGAGGCATTCTAGCAGCAATTTAAAGGTCTCAGGGCTGCAGTGGCAGCCAGGAGCTCCAAATCCTTTTCTATCCCCAGACCCTGGGGCAGTTGCAGTCCTAACCCCCGTGCCACCTCAGAGACAAGCTCAGAGTCCACTGACCTTGAACTGAGGGGTGTTCCAGGGTGGGGCTCTTTGTCTCTCCCATTGAAGCTGTTCCACGGTGTAGGACATAGTTAATGTCATTGGGCCAGAGAGAGTGTGAGATCATTCTATAGACCATTGGCTAGTAATGCAGTATGCTGGCCTCTCTCTGCATCCCTTTTTTGGATACCACATTCAAACAATGCCTAGTGAGCCTAGGCACCTAACTCAAGGTAGTGAATTCTAGTAGGCAGCAGGTCATCTAAAAGTTGGATGTTGCACTTCTGAGCAATGTCTAAATCTCCCCTTGTGAGTCTAACCTTAAGATATAGTTCTGCAAATTCCCTGGGAACATGCAGTGGTAGATTAAGCTCAGATTTGTGGAGTCAGGCCTGCAATACACCTGCCTGATTTAAGCAGAAGACTTATCTGTTTAGTGCACACAGTGGTTTCTGCAGTTTGCAGTGACCTTACAGAGACCAGTTATATAGGGGATTAGATACTGATCCATTTTGGTTATTATGAAGGTGGGATTTATGCTCTTTACTGTTGTTGCCACCCACAGTAGCCAAATGCCTCAGTTTTGAGAGATAGTCTACTCTCGCTCCTCCCCTCCCTTACACCCACATACACTCTTACTTTTTCCTACTGGAGTGAGTCAGCATGGGATGCTCTGTAAGGCTCTACATGGTAGTATGGCCATTTCAGTGAAGAAGCAGCAGCAAGCACATTTTGACTGAGACACTGAGAGGAGGTTGTAGAGGAGTTAGTACAGAACCAATAGGCCCTGAGGCTATAGCTGTATCTTAAAGTCATCTAATGGTGGAACAAATAGGCTCCATGGAGAGGTGAGGTGACCTGCCAGGGGAAGAGAGACAAGTATGTGTGACTTACCTGATGAGAGCTAGGAGACACTGGGGCATGAAGAAAAAAATTGAGCATCTTCTCTGCTCTACTTCCCAACCACGCTGACAAAATCTCACCTGCTCCTTTCCAAACAAAATGATGAGACCTGATCTATACCTCTGCTCTGAAGGGCAATAAGGAGGAATGCAGAAGGTCAGAGGTAAACAGGATGAGGTTTAATAAAGAGAAATGCAAAGTGCTCCACTTAGGAAGGAACAATCAGTTCCATACATACAAGATGGGAAGCGACTGTCTAGGAAGGAGCATGGCGGAAAGGGATCTAGGGGTCATAGTGGACCACAAGTTGAATATGAGTCAACAGTGTGATGCTGTTGCAAAAAAAGCAAATATGATTCTAGATTGTATCAACAGGTGTGTTGTAAGCAAAACTCGTGAAGTCATTCTGCCGCTCTACTCTGCACTAGTTAGGCCTCAGCTGGAGTACTGTGTCCAGGTCTGGGCGCCACATTTCAAGAAAGATGTGGAGAAATTGGAAAGGGTACAGAGAAGAGCGACAAGAATGATTAAAGGTTTAGAGAACATGACCTATGAAGCCAGGCTTCATGAACTGGGCTTGTTTAGTTTGGAAAAAAGAAGATTAAGGGGGGACATGATAGCGGTTTTCAAATATCTAAAAGGGTGTCACAAGGAGGAAGGAGAAAATTTGTTCCTCTTGGTTACTGAGGACAGGACAAGGAGTAATGGGCTTAAAGTGCAGCAGGGGAGGTTTAGATTGGACATTAGGAAAAAATTCCTAACTGTCAGGGTGGTCAAATATTGGAATAAAATGCAAAGAGAGGGGGTGGAATCTCCCTCTCTGGAGATATTTAAGAACAGGTTAGATAGACATCTGTCAAGGATGGTGTAGACGGAGCTTGGTCCTGCCTTGAGGGCGGGGGGCTTGACTCGATGACCTCTTGAGATCCCTTCCAGTCCTATTATTCTATGATTCTATGTGATTCTTGGAGCTGCAGCTGAGTGCAATTAGCATTAAAGCCTTCTTTTGACTGACTCTCATTCCAGGACTTCATTACAGAACTGCTCATCCGACTGCAAGGTCTCAGGAAAATCCCACAAAAGAAATGATCCATCTTGAGAAACGCCCTCCTTCCCCGGTATCACTCACGTGGAAGCAGACATCTCCTCAGCTAAGAGAATCAGATTCATGCAGGAAGATAATTTTACAGTTTTTCTAGGACTCAATGGCCTGAGAGCCATCTTAGATATTTTCAGCATCACCAGAGACAAAGTGCTGCCTCCATCCCCATTCCATATGTATGTTCACAGGGGTGCATGTATCTTGCTGATATTTAAAGAGCTATTGCTCTGGGGGAGAACCCAGTACAAATCCCCTTCTTTTTCTCAATTTTTTTGAAGGAACCTCTTTTCTGGCTGCAGGAGCATTGGATGTTGCTCCCTTTGGAGAGCCTTAGGGCTGTGCCTGCTGCCCAGTGTCTGATGGGAGAAAGAAGGCAGTGGCTATTATCCACCCTTCACCAGGGACACAGAGTTGTTACTTCCAGCTCCTGCCTATTTGTGACTCCAAGCACAGGCCTCCATCCTGGCTCTACGCCAGCACATGGACAAATTTTTCTGCTCACAAAAAAATTAATCATCTCTCCCAGGTGGAAAATGAGGCAGAAAATACCCTCCCTGGAGCTTTTCTGTCTGTCTTAGTGCATGACCCTCAGGTTAATTAATTTTTATGGTGCATGGCACTTTTCATGAGCTAACAGCACCTCTGAAAAGAATATGAGGATCTGCAAGGGATTTTTTTAAAGGACTTCATAGCTGCCCGCGTAAGGGCATTTGAAAGATGCTCACTTTGTACAGTAAAATGCATAGAAATCCAGACCTGCTTGTGACGACGGGTGGGGAGGGAAGGGGGTTGTTCTGCATTCAGAGGAAATGCAGCAAGAGAAGAAAAATCTAATTAAAAGCCCATCAACTGCTGACTCAGTGATCTTTTCATTGGGCTATCTTGGAGTCATTCCCAGGGAGGGAGGGAGAGACTGAGCAACCCAAAGGGGATGTAGGAGAAGCTGTATGCCTCCATACCATGTCTTCTAGCTATAGCAAAGCTCAGAAACCACATCCAGAGAGACAATAACTTGGCAAGAGCTGAGTGGTAATAAGATGATAAATGAAGGAGAGTCACTTGGATTTGGAGGACTCCCTCAGGGTAGAAAAGAGTCTTAGGTCCTCCTCCCCCCACACAGACACTCCAGAGCTGAAGGTAAGTTACTATGGTTGAGAAAATCCCATGTATGGTTATGTAATGTTAGTGAATTAACTATGGGTTATCCTTGTGTTCCAGTTTGTCATATAGTGTTGCAAAAAGGGGCCAGAGCCTACAATACAAAGGAGCCCTCAGTGTTCATAGAATCATACAGCTGGAAGAGACCTCAGGAGGTCATCAAGTCCAGCCCCTTGCCCAAGGCAGGACCAATCCCAACAAAATTAACCCAGCCAGGGTTTTGT